TGCAGCTGTAGTGGAATGAAATAGTGGATGGGATCTCTCTCTTTCCTCACTCTCAAATGAAACACATCTCTGTAAAGCTGCATGGTGAAATGCCATTTGAGGCTCTGCTTTGTTTGTTAGAAGGGATTAAATTTCTTTCTCCTCTGATATTGTATGTTGACCAGAGGTTCCCTTTGTGTTTCAGCCAGCATGTTTTCCTGAACTGTGGAATGTTCCCTGTCACTCTTCCCTAGAGAAGGCACCATAATGTGGTTGACCACTCAGGTGAGCTGCTTTCTGCAAAGCATTCTTCCAGGCTGTGTGCAATCTCTTCTTCAAGATTTCAACATATTTTCAAATTTTATCTTACAAGGGAAAGCAGAGATATAAACAACCCAGGATTTGTTAGTCTGTGTAGTCTGAGCTGGACACCACATTATGTCCTTAACATTTGTAATTTCTTGTAGTTATTACAGCAGTTTTTGAGAAGAATATGTTATTGCAATTATTATTTTCACCTAGGCAGCTGTGGTTCAGAAAAATGAACTAATTTGCTCCTAATTCCGCAGCTAACCAGTATCTGACCCATGATTTGGTGATTCCCCTGCCCGGCAATCTAAATCCCATTTCTGTTCCTTAGCCTAGATTTATCATGACAGAAACACTGGTATCAGACACCAACTCCAAGTTGTATAATTTCTTAAAGCCACTTAGGGCTGGCTTAACTGTGCACTTGTACCATCATCTTCCGCCTCCCCAGGCTATCAGTAGGGAGCTAGAATAGCTGAAACTCAAGCCTGTGGTTGTTTGGGCTGCCAGCTTTGCAGATGGAAGCTTCACTGGCTATGCCACAATGCCAAGCCACCTTTTAATTCAATCCTGATAAATCATATGTAGTCAAGGAGTTGTCCATTTCAGATTTTCCAATTTGGTGGTATATAATTGTTCAAAGTAGTTTATTATGACGTATTTCTTTTCATGTGTAATTTTACTTGGTTTTCCTTTGTACGGAGAAATTCTTATTTTGCTCATAATCTTTAAAACTGGCTATTACTGTTGCAATTTTATTTGTTTTTGTTCCAATTCCATTCATTTTTGCTGGTTTTTTAAAGTCATTTATTGCTTCCTGCTAACTTATCCTTTAAAAAAAGTCCTTGAGGTAATTTACTTGAGATATTTCTATTTTTTGTGCTTGTTGTTATAAATGCCCCTCTCAATAATGTTTTTGCTGTATTTCAATGTATGTTGATATACATTTTGTGACATGGAGCCTTTTGGCACAGATGGGCACATCCATCATCACTGGCTGGGTGCTTTTAATTGCCTATCACCAGAAGAACTCTTCCTGAAGCTTGGTCTTTTGTGCAGCAAAGCACCGGGATGCTTAGGGAAAACTAGAGAAATGATACTCGGAGCTCTAAGAACCAGAACAATAAAGGGTGTCACCAGAAAGATACCAGCCACAGGCCTCTGGTGGTGCTGCTGCGATCAGAGGCTCTGGTCTGGAGGGTGACATCATAAATGTGATTAAATGCTGTAGGAACTGTCAACTCAAAATGCTGTCTATATGAAAAGTGTGCTTCAAGTATAAAGGTAGCCATGGACAATGTTCTTTAGTCATTTGTGTGATTAATAGAATTGTGAGTGTGAGTAAATCTAAATACAGAGACCTTATAGAGTTTATGTATGAGAAACTCAAAAGACTCACACGATCCAAGAAGCTTACCAGTGAGCACATCAGCCTGTGATAGAAAGCAGACACCAGTTTTACCCATGTGAGCAGAATATTCTGAAATGATGAAAATTGGGAATTACAGTGTGTGGGTTGGTGGGTGAAACAACCACTCAGTGTGCCTTCTGTTTCCAAGACCTGATGCAGGTCTTGGCTCCTCTGCGTATTGTATAGATTCCTACCAATGCATTCTGGAGATAATGGTCCAAGTGCTGGGGCACCTGACAGCAAGGTGGAAGATCCAAAGGGGTTCCTGGCTGCTAGCTTCTGCCTGGCTCAGACAAAGCTCTATCTTCCCTGGCCCAGACAAAGCTATATCTTCCACTTGAAGGAAGGAAAAGAGAAGTTAGGAAGGAAGTTAGGAAGCAAGGAAGGAAGAAGGAAGGAAAGTGGAAGGAAAAAAGGAAGGAATCAAGAAAGAAGATAATAGGAGAAAATTTTCACTTTTATAAGAAAAGGAATTTTTTTTATACATTTTGAATGACAGAGATTTCAAATTTGTTGAATTTGGCTGAACGTTTTCAAATGTGCAAAAGTCAATAAAGTAATTAACACCAGTGTACTTGGTGTTATATTCAACACTTGTCTGAACTCTTCCATGCCTTTTTAATACGAGAGTGCAAAAATACTTAAAAGTAAAATCCAAACATGTTTCCTTAAACTCTTGTGTATGTATAGGTTTATTTTAAGTTTATATGTTTATGGATACATATTTATTATGGCTTTCTATATGCATTGTATGTATAATGCATAAAAATTATATATGTGTATGTATGTACACACACACACACACATGAAAGGCTAAGGGACAGGGAGAAAGAAAGAAATCTTCCATATACCATTTTACTCTCCAAATGCCCATACCAGGTGAGGTGGGAAAGACCTAAGCTAACATTCTATCTATGTCACTCATATGCCTAGCAGAAACACAAGTACTAGGGCATTTTAGGTTACTTCTGACACATTAAGAAGAAGTCAAATCAAAGTGACCAGAGGCCAAGAACAAGAACTTCCATATGTGATACACTCATTCCTAATGGCTTCTTAACAAGTTGTGCCACAATATCCACCCTTACTTTTGTTTTTATGTTAGCATGTAATGAGAAATTGACTATTGTCAAAAGAGAAAAGGTAGCAAGTTGCATTACTTTGTGAATGAAAGAGAATTCTTGGGTATGTTTGGTGGAAATATAAATTAAAACAGCCATTATGTCACACGGGATGATGCTGCCTCGTGAAGATAAAAGAGAGAACCCTGGGACCAGCATGATGGCTCAACTGGCTAGTTCTCTGCTGGCAAGTGCCAGCATGTAGATCTGTCTGCACTCCCACATTCATTGCCAGGGTTACTCACAACAGCCAAGGCATGGGATTGACCTCAATTTCCATGAGCAGACAAATGAATAAAGAAAATGTGTTGCAGATACACATTTACACACCATCTTGCACTAAAAATCATGGCATTCTGTCATTGAAGAAGCAGGTATGAAGCTAGAGAGTATGATGTTATATGAGATCAAGCAGGCAAAGAAAGACCAATGCTGCCTGATTTCTCTCAGATAGGGAGTTTAGTAATGCACAGTTTGGCAATACAATATAGCAATTTTATTAAAATATTAAAGACCTTACAAATGATGAGACATTTGTGCTCCAAGGTGTACCTGTCATTCACTTTACTTGTTTCAAAACAGGAAGAACCAAATGATTACACCCTTCTCCCAGAGACAGATAACTCCTCCCCAGCAAATACAAATGTTAAACTGGGTGGTGCTAAGGGGGTGCTACCATGCTGCTTCTGCACTATGAACTGGAAAAACTGGAGGCAACATGGTTTTCAGCATCAACTTTTTCCTCTTCATCTCATGAGGGAGAATAGTCCTTGATCTGGCCCTGCCCTTCATCAACTTAGATTGTTGATAAATGGCCTTGACCTTCCCTGTGTACTTGGATCCTAAGACCATAGTGTGCACATCCAACTTGCCTACTGCCCCCATAAGAGCAGTAAGTCATGTCCCATAATACAGAGAATTACTTCAGCTGGTACAGCACTTGCTGAACAATGAGGAAAAGAGGAATGAACATCCACATTCTCCATGCTTGACCCTAAAGGCACAAGAAAGCAGGACTGGGATGACACCGGGCATGTCCACTATTCAGTGTGTATTTTGACATTTATCCTTCCAGGTTCAGAGGAACTGTGAATACAGAAGCATACAACACATTCCATGGTTCTTTTAAACCTGTTTGTTCCTGTGGAATGACTGAAAATGCAGCTCAATCTTGGAAAATACAAGGCAAAGCCATCATATTATGGAAATGATAGCCCCAACCTTCTGGTCAAGGGATGTGACAGTTCAGCACTAAATGCACTCAGTGACCATCAGTCAGCTTAAATCGTGGGAGCAAACCCAGAAGGAGGATGTCCTTGTGAACTCCTTGTGCAGACCTCTGCCCTGTGCACATGTGATTATGAACACAGAGATCAGATGTTAAAAACTGACTCAGTGAAAAGCTACATACGTATGCACAGTGATTAATGACTAACACATTGTCATTATGAAATAATCATTTAGAAAGCAGCTTACATTTCTTAAAGATGTATCTCAAATCAAGAGAATGCTTTGGAAGTTAAGTTTGTGATTTCTGGAAACTAAAAGAAAATAGTCATAACCTCCTTCACCTCTGACCTTCTCCCTCCTAGAAAATGATTTATCTCTTAGCACCAGGATCAGGGGTCAGATACTATTCCATGCAGAATGTGAGTAGCCTGTACTAGGATATCTTGTGAAAAGGAGGTGTGGCTGTAGATGAGAGCCTTTCTCTGCCAATCTAACATTTTGAGGATGCATAGAGTGGAATTTTACAAATATAACAAATGTGTCCCAGGAATTTCTTTTAAAATATGTTTTTTTATTCTAAAAACTTTGGACTCTCTCTCCCTTTGTGTTGGTGGGTTTGAGTGTGTTGATAAATACATGGAATCTCTTCTAATACTTTTTTTTTAGTTCAAACTCAGAATGCCAACTAACTACAACTCCAATTAAATAAGCAAGAAGAATAAAGATATAGAGCAGAGATATCAAAATAAGAACCTATGAGAAATCCATACTTTCCAGTTCTTTGAAGCACTGAACCGGGCATAGATTGTTTAGGACCCAATTTTTCTTAAAATGAAGTTCATTTACATAAGACCTGATGAATTTAATATTGTGATGGATGCAGGGAATACAAATCCCAAGAGGGGACCTTTCGTACGTACATGAGTGTGCAGAAGCAGTTTCCAAGCTTCTCAGTGAGCACTACAGCAGGAAGCGATGTGAATATCCCTGCTGATCAGAACAAAGGGGCTGAGACTGGCATAACCCAGTTCAAGAAATAGTTTGATACCTAATGTTGTTGATTGCTGAGACCATGTGATCCCTGTGTAGAATGAAAAAATGAAATCTGCCCAATAAGACAACAGGAAACATGTCATGAGAATGAGAGTACTCTGAGTGGCTCTGATCTCTGGGCTGGGATATTTGGTACACCTGGAGCTCTGGAGGTAGACGACACGTTTGTGATGTTTGTACAGATAGAGAGCCATGTACAGACTGCTCCAGTACATGAGACTCTGAAAGGTGAGGTCCCGGAGAGCCATGAGGCAGAGGAAGAGCCATCTGACCATTTGTGGAGCCGGCAGCATGTGGCAATACCCAATGTATGTTCTAACTTGAGGCTCATTTGTGCTGTTGTTGACTGCTGTGATGTAGTGCAGCAAGTTAGAGCTTATGAGAAAGCTAAAGATCCAGAAGAAGAGGAGGTAGGGGAGAACTTGCCATGCAGTGTGTGGTTTGAACTTTCTCCACAAGGTGTTCCTGGGACTGATGGTGATGGCCTGGACTACACTGAGGAGGCAGGTGGTGCAGATGGAGAGACTTCGAGCCACCCTACTCAGGTAAATCATGACTTTGCAAACAATGTCACTTAGTAGGAAGTTACTGACATAAGTGACCGTGATTATGTCACTGATCCATCTGGTAAAAATAATGACATTATTTGAAATAACTAAATGAATGAGGATAAGATCTATGGAATTTTTCTCACGACTCATGACTAATATACGTACATGTTTCAAAAGCATAAGAAAATTTCCCAAAATTCCAGGCCCCATGAGAGAAAGGAAGCTAATTTTCCAGATGAGGTGTCTCTGTGTCATCTTCTGACTTTATTAAATGACGTTGAGAAAACTTGCAGAAAGCAAAGTAGTGAGCATGACAGTTTCAGATCAGTGGATATGATCTGGGGTTAGTGAAAAAAATAGTATTGATGCAATAACATGTGCATAGTTCATTCTGCCTTTAGAGCATAAAACTCATCTGCCTTTTAAAAATATATTTGTTTTTATTTTGAAAGGAAAATTTGCAGAGAGAAGGAGAAACAGAGAGACATAGAGTCCTCAATCTGCAGGTTCACTTACATCCCAAATGACCACATGGTCCAGAGCTGAGCCCATCTGAGTCCAGTAGAAAGGAGCTTCTTTCCGGTATTCCCAACCGCTGCAGGCACACAAGATCTTGAGTCATCCTGTGATGATTGTCCAGTGCATAAACAAGAGGAATCAGAAGTGAAGCAACCAAAGCTAGAATTAACTGTAAAGTGGAATAACGCTGCTGGAGGTTTAGGATCAGCCTGTTGAACCACCGTGCTGACCCCAGTCTCCCATTTCTACTTGGTATCTTCTTTTTGTCTTCTTTCTGCTGAAACAAAGATGGTGAAAGTTACAGTTTAAACATTGACTCAACCCTGGAGACTCCCGGGTCCTCACCAAGGGAGGGAACCAAGGACTGCATCCCAACAGGCAAGGAAACCAGGGGGATTTGGAGTACCTTCAGAGGCAAAGAACTCTGAGGTCAACATCTCCCATTTGGATTCACCACATGGGATGCAAGAAGCCCAAATCCTTCCTCCTAGGATCCAATCTCATTGGAACAACAGCCAGGAGCCCTGAGCAGTCCACAGAAACAGAAGAACAGTAAACATCCTTCAAGACTAGGGAGAGGTATTCTCTCTGGTCCTTACTTGGTTCCAACCTTGAATACCCATCCTCTCTTGCAGTGACCATCGGGATCACTCCAGAACCCCACCTAACAAACAAACAAACGAACATTCATACAAAAAATTAGAATAGATAGAGAACAACAAGGAAAGCTTAGAACCAGACAGGAAATGGTCAGCGGGGACTCACATATATCTTGCTAGGTAGGACACCAAGTTTAGTTACTCTTCACTAAGCTATTGAAGATTTCTTGGCACACCTCTCTTAAAATTGTTCTGTACCTCAACTGTTGACATATGTCCAGTAAGAGTTATAAGCCAGTTTACACTATCCTAAAATCTGCCAAGTTCAGCAAAATTATGCTTCAACACTATACACTGCTAAATACTAAAATGGAAACAGACATGAGATAGCTGAATAGTATCCTATGCCAATTTTAAGGTGTATAGCAGCCAGTTCTGTATATAAACTAAAATTATAATGTCAATGAAGATGTCACAGCATGTGGTTATGAACTTGCATTTTTAACATACTGGTTACTTAATACCATGTCAATTAATTTCATAATGTTGTAAATTGTTGTTAATGTTGTGTTGGGGATTTTAACTGATAGGGATTATATTCTGCCAGTTCTGCTTTCAGACAAGAGATGATCTCCCCCAAGAAACTGTTGAATTGATCTGGACAATAAGATGCTGCACTCTATGCTTAGTGTATGCTTACAATAAAAGAATCTTGACTGAAGCTGAACTGTAATACTGCAAAAAGCTGGAGGAATCCACCATGGGGAGAGGGTACATGTAGGCACTGGGGGAATCCCAGAGCCTATGAAACTGTGCCACATAATGCAATGTAATTAATAATAAGAAAACCATTAACTCTGTGATAGTGCCCACTCTGGCCTTTTCATAAAAGCTTCTGTGTATCAATCACACAAATTTACTAGAAATTTGTTATAAGAAAGATGTGGATTCAGTTACAACAGCATTTCATCAGTTCCAAATCCCAATGCTGAGGTCCTTCATTTTCATTGGTCACATTCAACTTACCCGTCTAGTCTCATGCATATTTTCCTTATGATTCCTCCAGTGAATCTGGGGAAATCAGCCAGATAGGAAGGAGAACACTGTATGTACTCACTTACACATGGGAGTGAAAATTTCATAGCAAAAAATGTCAACCAACACACAAGTATTTGCATAGGAGGGAAAGGTAACTCAGTGGACAGAAGCCTGAGGCTTAACTGGAGGAGTAATTTGACATTCTAGAGCTCAGCAAAATATGCATGATGAACAATTAATGCATGCTTCAGAGTAGCTCTTAGGATTCAAAATGTTCTCAGCACAGGGACTTGATAAGCTGAGAGGTATTTAAACACAGCAATTTTCATGCTCTGCTCTTTCACATTTTTTTAACTGAACTATCATGTTGTAGTCAATTGATGCAACTAATATATGTAAATAGACAATAAAATCTAAACTGAAGAATCATCTTTAACTTTAATATGAGTGGAGGCATCTCAGAAAATTACACTTGATCTTTTCAAGCTAACTGCCCAGTAGCTAACAGAGAGGGAAGGAAAGGCCCCTTGCCCAAGGTGGGAGAGGGAGGGCTGAGACTTCTTCTCTGCTCTTTCTCTGAGGGAGATAGGAGGAAAGGTTTTGTCATGGCTTTGTTTTCTCTGTTTTGTTTTCCTGTGTACCTTGTCCTTACTCTTCAGCCTCTTAGGGAACATTACTATGCATGATCCTAGAAATACAACCTGGCTCCCTCAGACACTGACTTATCATCTGTAACAGGATCGTGCTTTCTATCACCAAGGTTTACTGTGAGAATTAAATGGGTAGATGCATACAATGCCCATGTCAGTTCACAACAAGAAAAACAATCTGATTTCTAAACACACCTGTGTTGTTACGCATCCTTACACTAGTTCTCACATTTGATCAATTCTCTAAACTTACATACTGTGTGACATTGTGGGTCAAAATAATCTTTTATTTAATCATAAAATGCCACAAAGCACTGAAGGACACCAGAAGGAAGAAACACTGAAATAAAAACAAAAACAAAAACAAAATCCCAGTGTAGGAAGTGAAGATATACAAAAGCCAGGAGCCTATAGGAAGGGGCCTCCCCACCCAGGCTGTCAGCCCACTTCTGCCTGATGCCCCCAGCTTCACTCACATCTGGGAAATGCAGCAAACTCAGGCTCAGAGCATCACTGGCTCTGCTGTACAAAGTCTCCATCCAGGGCCAAACAAGCAGGGTCTGCTGGATGAACAGGGATGTGATAGCCAGTTTACACCTACCTCTTCCAAAGGGGTCAGGAGAGCTGAGAAAATGCCCACTCCCGACCTGACCCTGAACAGCTTTGCCCGGGACAACTTTACTTCCAGAGCAAAGGCAGATTCCCCTGCACACACACACTCAACCTCACTCACCTGAGCAGTCTGCAGGGCTGTGGCTGGAGCTGTGGCAGAGCAGCACAGCCAGGCCTGTTTATCCTTGCCCGAGTTCCAGCACTTAGGGATGCTGTCACTGATGTCAGCATGTCAGTGTGATGAGTTTGGCTCCTTCAGGGTGCTCTGGGTCCCTGGGGCAAGCTCTGCCCTCTCCCTTGCTGAGCCTTTGACTGCTGAGTCCATAAACATCTTAATTCTGATTACACTGAACCTGCACTAATGAGCAGGAGGCAGCTTGATGATGAGTAGGTCTCAGAGGGTCCAGGTTCCTTGGACTTGACTGTGATCTCATCCTACCTCTGCCACTCACCACCAAAGTTAATACATCAGCTAGGGAGAAGTTCTGAGAGTCAGAAGTAGTCACTTCCCCAAATCTGCTTTTTGGCTTATAGTATTTAAATGTTTGATAATGTTCATCAGCAACAGTTTTTACGTTGATCAGTAAGTACTTCACATTGCACAGTCTCTTGACTTCTCTGCTGGCATTCCAAGCTGATATTACATTTGACATATGGAAGACATTTATTTGTATTTGTAAAAGAATGTACTGCTGAATTCTACAATGGCTGGAATTGAGCCTGTACGAAGCTAGGATCCAAGAGTTTCTTCTGGATCCTATGTGTGGGTGCTGGGTCCCATGAATTTGGATCAGCCTCTACTGCTTGCCATAAGCAGGGTATCGGATGGGGCGTGGAATACCTTGGACATAAACCAGTGCCACTATAGGATTCTGATGTGTGTGAGGTGAGGCTTTAGCCACTAACACAACACAACACAATGTGCCCATTACTGATATACCTTAACCATATCCAAGTTAAACATACATAGACAATTCTACCTATATTCTAAAGTATAGTGACTAAAGTCCTCACCGGACACACTCTGGGATCTCACATAGGCACCTATTCATGTCCCTGCTACTCCACTTGTCTTCCAGCTCTTTATCTGTGGACAGATAACCCAATAGAGGACAACCCAAAGCCTCGGCATCTAGACTCCAAAGAAGTTCAAGTCTACTGTCTTCATATTGGATCAGCTTTGGACCACTGCAGCAACCAGGGGAGTGAACCAGCAGACTGAAGACCTTTTCCTCTGTCTCTTCTCTCTCTGTAAGTTTGATGTTCCAATAAACATAAATAAATCTTTTAAAAAAGGAAATGCTAAAGAACACAGAAAAATAGTTGCAGTTCTTCTATTCTCATGCAGTGAGGTTTTTGTGCATTTTGAGCTGTCTCAATTGTTTTTTCCCAAGTGATTTTCAAAATACAGTTAATCATCAGTGCGTGCAGTAGCAAACAGAGGTTTTCCAATGCCTTATTATTACTTACACGTTTCACTCAAGTGCTTGAATCTGCCAACCTGCATTCTAGGAAGTCAAGGTTCAAGTGGTATTGCACTGACCAGGCATCTTGTGGAAAGTCTTTTCTTCCACCTGAACCTGCCAGAAAAACGACAAGGAAGAGAGGTTCATGTTCTCCAGTTGTTGTGAACACGCATGCTTGTTCCTTTAAGTAGCTTTGTCTAATATGATAGCTTTAAAGCATTTCAAATATCCTTTATGAACAACTTAAAAGTACTCTATATTGACACTGAAGGCCATGAAAAGCTAGAATCAGAGTCAGCCTTGGGATTTCAAGTCCAGAAGAGGGGTGGTCTTGCTTGCTGGTTCTGTTTCCTGATTCAAATGATGGTTAC